CCTCCCACCTGTTCACCCCTTATCCCTTTCCTCTTCCCTTCTGCTGTTCCCCTTCTATCCCTGTCCAAGTTGGCCAACACCTACCCTTCCCTTTGTCCCCTTTCCCCAGTAAACTCCACGTGGATTTGTGGAATTTTGTGGTTCGTGTTTCATGGCCTGCAGTTGAAGCAAAACAACATGATGGCCTTCACTTTTGACTTCCCAGGGCCGGGCACCCAGCAAGATTCATAAGTATCTGTTAAGTCTTTCACACCAATTTATTTCTATCCAATTTGATCCAAAGCAATTCAATTCAATTCACATCAGCATGGTTCAAGCTCATGGTAAGCATCAATACACAGAAAACAGCCCCTGAGAGCCAGCTAGGGGAAGTTACATTCTCATGAAGCCTTACTCAACCTGGGTGCCTGGCTCAACCCCACCGGAGGGCCTGCGGAGTGGAGCAGGAACACTCAACCCTTTGAGACCTCGCCTCAGCCCAGCCTGACCTGAGGACACTCATCATTGAACATCTCCTCAGATGGCCACGGAAGCTGCTGAGGTATGTCCAATCAAGGAGGTATGCTAGTTTGCTTCACACGGAATCCTCTGTCTCTTGGCATCTTTGTCATGATGGTGTGGGGACATGAAAGCCCCAAATGGCTCTAGCGCGGGAGGTTCCTCCACTCCTGGTTGGTTGGGCTCCTCCCCCCACTACATGCTGCTGTCGGAGAAGCTGGGCTTCCTGGGGACACTCCACCCTGAGACAACACACAGCAGCTTGTTTGTCAGTCACAAAACCCATGTGACGGCCATTTCCAGCGATGACTCCATAGAGGGCTCAGCTGAGCCAGCTGATGCTGTCCTAAATTTCACAAGCAGCAAGCTGGTGCAGAGAAGACACCCAGGGACCACTGGTCTAGGCAACTTCCTGAAGCAGCTGAGGCAGGTGCATCATGAACCCGAGACGTGGGCTGAGCTGCAGGGTTCCCTCAGTGTGCCTCTTTCTTTCTGCGCCTGAAAAGAGCGAAGGGAGATGGTAACCTAAGAGGCTGCTTGATGTGACCCTAGCCACTGTCCCCGTGTCTGAGCTTGGGGGGATGGGGCAATGGGGCCCAGGGCCATCTTAAAGGCATCTCTGTGCTGTTGTGTGGATCCGAACACTTCACCCATCAAAGAGCCAGCGACTCTCCCTGCCATGTTCTTCCTCCTAGTCAATCAAAAAGGAAAATCTAAGTAGTAGTTCAAAGTTAGTAACGTTGCCCCAGAGGATGGGTCCCTCCCAGAAAGAAGGCCAAACACATGCTTATTCACTGAAATCTAGTCACTGTCATGCTTCAGGAGGGACCTGGTATGAAAACAACATTCACCACGCTCCAGAGTAAAGCAGAGACCTCAGAGAAGTCTTCTGGAGACGTGTGGATGTTTGCTCTCGAAACCAAATCAGAGCCTGGTGATTCTCATCCCTTCACCCACTCAACACATTCTGAGTGCCTGCTGTGTCCCAGACTCCAGGCTAGGGGCTGTGGTCATCACTGGCCTGGGGAGCAACCTCACAGTCAATGGCGGCATACACACCTAGAAAACTCAGTGTGAATGAAACCCTGTGTCTGGGATTAAGGGATAGTCAATCACCTGCCCTCAATACGAGGCAGAGAGGACAAGAAAGCTCAGCCACAAGGTAATGAGAGTAGCTAAGGCGACGACTCCGTTCATAAAAGGTTTGCCAGGCCTGTGTGGACCAAAATTTGGATTCCCAGAATCCAGGTAATGATGGGTGGACTGAGAAGGGACAAGAATGGCAGTTAGTAGAGTGGGCCAAAGCTCTGGCAGTGCCATAGGCAGGGACCACCACTGGGGGGCACTGGCATCTGGCATGGACTTTCTAAGGGTGCAGGAGCCAGATGTATCCATGCACAGTTGTGTAGGTTGGGCCGCAGGCACTGTGTCTGGCTTCATGCACAAGAGCAATCTGAGATTGCTCAGAGACGGATGAAGTGAGGGAGGATGAGAGGACCAAACCTTTTAAATAGGTCATGGTTGGGGGGGAGGGAAGCTTTTAGTGGCAGACACATGATCACAGAAAGTCTCTGTGGGCCAGGCATTCAGATCAGCTGTTTTGGTAATGCTGCATTTTTTTTTCAAGTGGAGATAAACTAAAAGATTTAGAACTCTTCATCGGATTAACTAGTAACTCTAGTTACTATTATCCATATTTGACAGGTGAAGATCCCGGTGGGGATAATAGAGGAAGTTTACCTATGCAGTAACTGGGTGGGTGGATTCATCCCAGTAGCTGAACCACTCTCCAGCATATGGAAACAAAGCTCTGTTCTCATGACACCACACTCGTAAAAAGACCCCCATGGCAGGCAAAGCAGAGCAGGGGTCTGCTTCCTTTGCTCAGCTTGCTTCTTTGGGGCATTGGTTCTCAAGCTCCTTCAAGCTGGGACCCTTTAATATAGTTCGTTCTGATGGCCGCCAACCATAAGATTATTTACATCGCTATTTCTTCGATGTGATCTTGCTACTGTTATGAATTGTAATGTAAATAGCTGAAATGCGGGAGATCTGTACAGGACCCATAGGTTGAGAACCACTGTCTTGGGGAGACAGGATGAGTCTAGAGAGCACATGCGTCATGTGACTGACTGCTCCATGGATGGCCTATGGGGAAAGATGTTTGTTACAGCATTCATCTTCTGTTAACCATCCAAGAGCATTTCACTGATGTCTTGATAAAGCAGTATTTTCCATTCTGCTGTGATGTGTAATTTGGGGTGGGGCGCATCACAGGCATGCTGTGCCAAGGGCCAGCTGCAGTAAGTAGTGTCTTTAGGAGTGAAGTCTTTCCAGACTTCTGCTTTCCAGCTGGGAGGCCCTGGGAATGGGTGGTTCAGTCACCGCCATACCCTCCATGGGCAGCAGAGGGCAGCAAAAATACATCTGTGCACACCAGCTTCAGGAGTTTGAGCTACCTCCTGCATTATTTTCCTTTAAATTTTTATTTTTATTATTTGTGTGTGCGCGTGCGTGTGTGCGTGTGTGCGTGTGTGCTTGCCTGTGCGTGTGGTGTATAATTAGAGGACTACTTCGTGGAGTTTATTCTTTCCACCATATGGTTTCTGGGATCCAACTCTGACTTGGTGGCAAATGCCTTTACTTGCTGAGTCATCTTATCTGCCCTGCAATATCTTATCATTTGGAAGCTCTCTGTAGTGGAGGATACCATCTCTTTAAAGTCATGAAAAACAACAACAACAACAAACAACCCCCCCCACAAATGAAAGTATTTATCTCCTATAAGAAACTTTTATATACATTTAGAAACGTGTATTACACCCCCCCCCCCAAGACAAGGCCTCTCTATGTAGGGCTGTAACTCAGTCTATAGACTCACAGAGATTTGCTTACCTCTGCTTCCTGAATGCTACACTCAAAGTTGTGGGTCACCACTGCCCTGCTTGTTTTATGTTTTTAATTAAAACGTAAAATTTATGATGTGTGTGTATGCAGGCCCATAATGGAGGTCAGAGGTCAAACTCTAGGGAGTTGGCTTCTCTGCTTCTTTTGATTATGGCTTGGGCACCAAGCTCTTTTTATCAGCCGAGCCATCTCGCTGGCCCTAATTAGGTTTTCTGAGGCGAGGACTCCCTCTGTAGCCCAGGCTATCCTTCACAGCAAGCCTCCTGCCTCGGCTTTCCAATTTCTAGGATTTTACTGTGAGCCATCTGTGACCAGGGGTACTTAGTTTTAAATATTAGTGACATCACTAGTCTTCAGAGGGAGAACGTATAAGAGGCTAAAATTTGATCATTTTCCTTGCCCCTCTCTTCCCGTGGCTGTCATGGCTAGTGGGCAGCTTGTGCTGTCTGTGAGGAGCTAAGGATTTTTGCTTGGCATCATTTGTAATGCCTGGTCATTATGTATGTAAGACAGTAAGTATCAGTTTAGGAACAAGTGTTTCATATTGAAGCTACAGCTGTCACGTTTTCAAGCCCTTTCTAGTGCCACCCGATGGAATTTCACAGGAACCATTTACCAGCAATGATGTGCACTTGACTGCCATTTCTTCTTGAAATGAGCAGCAGTTTACACTCCAGATGCCACCAGCTCTTTGCATAGACTTAAAGGTGCAGCAGCTTGCAAAGGTCTACCTGCTTGTTGTGAATGCCAAGCACAGCACACAAAGGTCTCCTCTCCCCTTGGGTTTTCAGTAGTTTGGGTTTGGAGGGAATGCCCTCAGCATTATGGGGGAGGCAGCATAATCACCTGACTGCTCGGGATACACACACAAACCTGTGTTTGAATCTCAGTCTTGCAGCTTAATAGTGGATTTATTTTTTTAATCAAGTTAACTTGTACTTCTAATTTCCTTATTTGCAAATGTATCAGTGTGGCTGTATACAGAATTCCTACCATCAAACACCTACCATCTGGGTACTATTTAAAGACTCTGTCACTGACTGTTTTGGCTGGGCTGGATGTGCAATGTAGGCAGGCCCTGCCTGTGCATTTGAGGCGATGGATCTACACTGAGCTACGTCCCTAGTCCTGGTCCTAAAGCTCACATTTCATAAGGGTGAAACAACCTGAGGACCAGGGAGTAGGAGAGCAAGGAAGACAAAGCAAGGTGTGTGTGATACAGTCTGGGGAAGCATCCCAACGTAAGCTAGGAAGACCCTGCTGCTGGAGCAGTGTGCAGGGCAGGGAGGGTGCACTAACCCAGAGGCCACAGTGGGGCACCACATCCACGAGTGCCTGATGAAATGGAATCTTCAGATGTTCAGCAGGGCAAAGTCAAGGCCTTGACTTGGGTGGGAGCTGGGGCAGAGGAGGGGAGAATGGGACATTCAGGATGATGTAAAATCCCTGTAGGGTGTCTGTGAGTGGTAATCCCGACCTTCAAACAAGGAAGTGTTGTAACACATTTTAGCCATTGGCTCACTTTTTATTTTTTTGGCTACAGGAAAACTATCTACAACTGCTTTGAGGATCACACTCATCTTCGGAGGCCCGGGTAAAGTCAACATTCATATTTATTGCTTTCATTATAAAATATAAGCACTTTACAAACATTTTGAAAAGGAAAAGAATCCCCCACCCCAGCACAAAGGCTGCATCTACATTTTGGTATGTCTCTCTGCAGGGTTAGCATTTAAAAGCTAATCTGAATTCCAATACTGTTCCAAGCATTTAGAAGAAAACATAAAAATACTGGTTCTTATAGTCCTTGTTTTTTCTGATCTCCAGAGCATGTTTTTCTTTTTCAGGAGACCAAAAATATTAGTTATAAAGTCAGATTCTCCAAGTTTGCAGCCCCTAGTCAAGTGACCTTCCTGTGAGGAAGGAACATAGTGTGACTGTGCCAAGCAGAGCCTGGAGGGACACCTGGGGGCTACTGCGTCTTTGAACCCTCATGTATCTTTTATGACCATGATCGGCAAAGTCGACATGCGGGCAGCACATGTTGAGGTGTGTGTGCAACCGTGTGTGAACGCACACATGTATGCACAGGCATGTGTAGTGCTGGGGCTTGGAACCCAGGGCCTCACACACCCTAAACAAGCTCTGTACTGCTGAGCATCACCCCCCAGCTCTTTTCAGACAGGGTCTCATGAAGCTGCCCAGCTGGCCTTGAAATTACCCTACAGCCCAAGCAGACTTAGAGGTCACAATCCTCCTGCCTCAGCTGGGACTAAAGGCCTGTATCATCAAGCCTGGTATGGAATTCGTTAGTCCTCTTGATTCTACAATACTACTTTGTTACCTGGAATGGCAACATTTTTGTATATAGAGAATATATTAACGTTTAAAGACAATTCTGGGCAAAATCATCATCAAATTTGCTTAGACAGGATCTCAGTACATAGAGCAGGCTGGCCTGAACTCTCAAAGAAAGATTCACCTTCCTTTCCCTACCTCCCAAGTACTGGGATAAAAGGTAAGTGCCACCATGCCTGAACCACTGTTTTTCCTTTGTCTTCTGTTTAGTATTTTAGATGCCTTTTTGCATCTCATCTCTCAAGACCAACCAGTGACATGGGCTAGCACTTGGGAAAGTTTTCATATGGCAGCAGAACTTTTCTGACCAGCTGTAAGCACTGGTGTGCCTTGGAAACAGCGGCAAAGCAGTCCCAGAGGTAGGTACCTTTATGTCTTAGGCTCACCAGATTTAGCAGTCATCTCATCACTCAAGAAGAATGAATGTACATGGAAGCTGCATGAGAAGTACTGGTTCACTCCCCCCATTTTCACTGATCAGACACAAAAGATACCCAAAGAACACCTTCCAACACATCACTATGAGACCACATACTGTAAAGCTTCCCAATAATGAACGTGCCTGAAGTACACGGTGGGAAACCACAAGGGGGAAGCACTATAAGATAGCCGTCTCCTGAAGGGGATCGGGAAACAGAAAAAGTGATGTTTTGAATCAGAGGTTATCTCAGAGAGAACCGAAATCTAACGTTAATTCACAGCAGAGCTAGGGTTAGCAGTCATTCATTAAGGCTAGATAAAAGGGGAGTTGTGATGCCAAAAAGTGACACAGACTGGAGGAAAGTAAACATGTCACTGGCTTGGGAAGAGACTAATGGACCACAGGCAGTTACAGTGGCCCTGCAGGAAATGATTTTGATCGAAGAACTCAGGACTGAAATACACAACATGGAATAAGAAATGGTTATGAGAAATGCCATCATCCAACAGCATAGCCCCAGATGGCAAAGTGGACTTGGGATTGGTGGAGGACAGGAAACTGAGTGAAAGTGGCTCTGGCCATGTGGAGTGGCACGGGATCCTACAAGAGCTGGCTTTGCCCAGGCAGGCAGGGCTAAGTGGGGGAGAAAACTGAAGGATTGAAAGAACAGCCGCACAGGAGACATTCTGACAGAGAAAGAGCAGACAGGAGCATCTGCAGGACTTATTGCCACTAGAACACAGGACAGCATACTTATCAAAGACACCTTTCACCTTCCTTACACCTCCACTCAAGTTCTAGGTAGCAAATGAACACAAGCGGATGTCCCAGACTCCCGGAGGCTATGTTGCATGGCTGGTGACTGTCCTCAAAAGAACATGGAGCAAGTGCTAGATAAATCTGACTTGAATGCTTTTATTTATTGATACTAAGATCTGAACTCAGGGTCATGTGCACACGAAGTAAGTGCTAGACTCTGTGTACCAATCTTCACTATTTCTCACCCTCTTGTCTAAAATGCCTTCAAGAGTAAAGATGTATGGACAACCTTGGGTGCTATCCTTACCCAAGTCCTCATGCCTGCAAGGCCATTGTCAACTGAGCTATGGTGCCAGTCCATGTTGGCTTTTTTTCTTGACAGGGTATCACTATGTAGTTCTGGCTGGCTAACCTCAAACTCAGAGATCCACCAGCCTTTGCCCTTGTTGCTTTAGTCACTAACAGAGTTCTACTTAACTGAACTAGAGGCTGTCACTGGGGCTCAGAATCCACCAAAGGAAGATGTGGCAACAGAAGGACCAACTGTCATGGGGACCTACAGAAGTCTGAATAAGGGGAAGCAAAGGAACAAAACCGGCACAAATTACCTCTGTGCCTTGAACACTATGTAAAGATATATCCTTTGGGCTTTCCAGGTATGCTAGATTTTCTATGCAATGTCTTACTGTGCCTAAAGAAAATCCAAACTGAACAGAAACTAGATCCAAGTCTTGTAACCCCAGACCTGTCTCCACCTGCCTGTATAATACAAGCAGCTATTACATCTCTAATAAATATGGGTATTTCAGCAACAAACAACAACAAAACAACAAAAAACAAACAATTCAAACAATCTACTTGCTAATGTGGCCAGGCTGGGCATCCTTACGATTCTTCTATTTCTGCCTCCCAGAGCTGGAACTACAGGTGTGTACCACCACACAGTGCCACAAGATGTTTTTAAAGAACTAAATAAATTCAGTAAGGAGACACAAGCAAAGTGCAGATGCAACCCTGCAGTGTTAGGAGCTAAGGGGCAAGTGTATTCCATGTGTACACGGTATAAGCACATGCTGGATTCCGGAAAATGAGTATTTGTAAGTTGCCCAAATGTTTGGTTCTATAAAATTTCCATGTTGTCTGGAGTATACAGAAAGAATACTGAGGTTTTTAAAGACAGCATCTCTGAAGTTGTATTTAACATTCAGCCCCCAAGTCACTGAAATTCAGTGACTCTTTTTCCATGTACTAAGCGAGAGCAAAGTAGCTTCCCCAGTGAGCTGTTGTGAAGGTTCACGAACAGGAGGCCCACAGAATACATCAGATGACTCATGTCAACAAATAAGCTTCCCTTCCCATTCCTTTACAAAGACAACTGCAGGGTACCAGCTTCAGTATATGTTCCTACACAATTCTACTATCTAGAAAAGACCCCGAGTACTTCAGATAGAGTCACAAGTCTAGGTTTTGTGTAAATGAACAAGGGATAAAACCATGCAAATATCAACAAAATTAATGTCCTGAAGCAACTATTGCTTAGCTATCTGCAATAATTACTAAGCACTGTTCTCCTTTCTTAGGAAATACTCTGCACAGTAATTTTCTGTGGAACAGACTAGCATAACCATGAAACCCAACATCACACAGATACAATGCTACGAAGAAATGTGATCTTTAGATTGTTCTTTGCTAAGCTCAGTAAGGAAGGATTTATTTAAGAAATACAGATCAAGTATACTGCCTAGTTCTATGGCTATAAATGCCATCCAATACTGTGTAAGTATTTCAACTGTATCTAGAAATATTCTTAATTTAAGCTAACTTACAATTTTGGAACTCAAAGAAAAACCAAGGATCTAGCCTATCAACATCTTGATGAGAACAAATTGTTCTGAGCTAAATTAAAATTATTTCACACCATACTGTAGGAATTCAAGACCATCCTGAGCAAGGCTGTAAGACCACATCTAAAAACAAAATTCATGACTCAAATGCACTACCAAGCACATGTCCCTTTATACCAAGAGTATGAACACCTTTGTACTACAAGAGATGAATGTAATGTCATTCCTAAATGTAATGTCATACCTAAAAATCCTAGCATGACTGTCTCAATGTTGTTTCACCTGTCTCTCTCCCTAACAATTCTAGGCGGATGAACTAGTCACACCACCTATGTTAGCTCTATTTTCTGTTGTCCCTGCTACTTCTCGTTACTACTTGGCTCTTTCCCTTAGGTTTTTACAAAGTCTCATTTCTCCTTGCCAAACCCCTCAGGCAACATTTCAGTGGGCAGTTTATCATTCCCAAAGTCCCTTACTACAAAACATGATTTGAATGATGAAGCTATACACCCAGAGTGGGATCCATGCTTTATGACAAATTATTTTCAAATGTCTGGGTCACAGGTTTGATACACATGATCCTTAAATTCATTTAACAGATTCTGAAAAGCACTTGCTCAAAGACAAATTCTGAAACCAAGGTTGATGATGCAAATGACTAAATTGGAAAAAAAAAAAAAAAGCGCTTCATCCAAGTATTTACATTTTAAAAAGACATTTAAAAGTAGACTACTTATTAAGTGTGCTTGAACAAACCATGTGTGGAATTGAATTCCATTCATTATGGTGTTAATTTCTGCTAAATACTTACTGATGCTATAGTAGACGCCTGGCACTTGAAGACTTGAGTTATCAGCTGTCCCCAGTCTCCACTAAAAAGTAATACATTCTATACTCCCGAGGCTCTAATCTGGGCCTCAGAAACAAAGAGCTGGTGTATAAGACAATTACTCAGGGATGAGAGCGTGGCAGCTGTAAGTGTGGTTTCTGCAACTGCCCATGTTTCTACCAGGTGTTTAGTCAAACTCTACGGGCCATTTAAAGGTTTTAATTACTTACACCTTACTGTAGTATGTTACAGTAGCTTAACAAACTTTGATATTCACAGAAGGTTTTGGAAAATGTTTCTTGAGAACGAGAAGGGTCTCCTATATTACATTTAGTCAAAAACCATACAGTTCCTCAGGCCTCAAAGAACCTTTTCAAAATAAACTCATTATACAGCTCAATTAAAAACCCACACACATTATATACAGGCATAAAAAGTTTACAGTCCAGCGATGCAAATACAGGCAGTTTGACATTTCAGCCCCTTTTGCACAGTGATGAACAATTACAGAAGACCTTCTATGGTTATTAGCTTTGGCTCACACAAACATTTTGAAAGTTCTGTTTCTGTATGTACTTTGTTGTTTTCCTTTACATGTGTGGGGGAAGGGACTGGATCAGCCAATGAAAAGGAAAAGAAGTCAGGAATACAACATTGATATTAGCACTTCCTTGTAATATACACAGGGAGAATATGGCTTAAAAAACAGAGGGAAGCCTCTTACCCATTCACACTCCATGTTACTTTAATTTCTAGTAAGGCTGACAATAATGCCAAACTTAATTCACTAGTTCAGGCAAGAGTGACTAAAGGGATTGTTATCAAAACCAACTTAATTTTGGTCCTGAAATTCTAAGTGCTTAAAGTTTTGGTATTTTTCACATTAACAAAGAAAAAAGTAGGTCAACAATTAAAAAACAAAAACAAAACAAAACAAAAAAACCCAAAAGGTCAGGTTAAAAGATAAACCTTGTTACCTCAAAACTTTCCAATTAATGTTTTTGTAGATTAGGATTAACAAAATGTATCCCTGCCCCTAAAATTTGATTCCCTTGGTCTGTAAACCAGGATAGTTTCTCTTAAGATTATTCCTAAGAGCAAACGCTCTGCTTAAAGCCAACAACAAACAAGCAAAAGCAAAGAAGGGAAGTCACTCCAGAGTTCTCTCCCAGGTCACACACAACATCCTACAGCACAACAACCCAGTTTGTACAAAAGGACCATTTTTCCTTAAAAAAAAAAAAACCCAAAGACCAAAAAAACAGGCGTGGAATTAGGATTTATATACCATTAGTAGATTTTTCAGGTTTCACAATTTTGTTGCTAGAGATTCCAAAGTTCCTGAAGGTGTACACACAGTAAGCAGCAGCAGATAGCCAACATGCTCCTACTGCTCAGACAGTAGCCACTCCTGCTCGTGCCTTTAGAATAGAAGCTGTAACAGACAGCAAGCAAAAGGCCAGTTTGTGCCATCAGTTTAGATTTGATGGATTCCAAGAAATAAAGTATTTCCTCAAAATAATTCGCGGCAGAACATCTTAAACCACACTGGGGCAAATATTAATTGAGCTTGGGAGCAAAAATCAGCAAATATCACAGGGGAAGCGGCAACAGCGTTTTGCTGAGTATTCTAAAGGCGTGTTTCAGGTAGTTTAACAATGATTCTGGTAAGACAACTGCTCAGACATTCACACCCACACAGTTTAATGGTTAAAAAAAAAAAAGAAAACAAAACAACCAAATTTGTTACTTTAGAAAAACGAATGCAGTGCTTTTTCAGCAATATTATCGCCACAGACTCTGATTGCTCAGTCCACACCTAAGCAGCAGTTGCCTTTATGGTGATATGGCTTCTCTGCACTAATTCCCATCAGGCCGAAACACATCAGGGCAGGGGAAGCACAGACTGAATTGTTGCACAAAGAACATTTACTCATCAGATCCCACTGATCTCTTCTGTGCCCGCTTCCTGGGCAGCCTTCTTGGAGAAGCTTTATCTGAAAGAAAGAGCAAGAAAGACGCTAACTCAAGACTGTTTTGCCTTCTCAGACAGCAGTAAATTTAACACAGATACGCGCGCGTGAGCGCACCATCTGGCAACAAAAGCCTCTGACCAATCTCTAGGTTTTTAAACCAAGTTTAAAAATAGCCTTCAAGGGCAATACCAATTAAAATAAGATTTTTATACCTAATGTAGACAACATGCACATTCTATAACATGCTTACACATGCAAAAGTAGGAATTTTAAAATACTTTAAATGACCCAGGTAAGATGGTCTACATCCCAGCACTTGGGAGATAAAGCAAGATTAGGAGTTCAAAGTTAGCAAGGGTTACTATGGGATTCTGTTTCAAAAACAAATGCAAACATTTACAAGATATGTCATATTAATACAAGATTTAGTATTTTTGGGTGTGTAAATTTTGGTGACTATACAAATTTAACTGGAAGAATCAAGGAAAGGACACTAGTACTAAAACCACTCCAACACACAGCCTCTCTTTAGAATTTAACAGAATACATGTGGTGTTGAGTTTCTTCTATTCTATAAACTAAACTGAACATTTTTTAAAAAAGAAAAGAAAACAAAACAAAAGAAAAGAAAGAAAGAAAGAAAGAAAGAAAGAGGGCTTAGATGGGTATAGTGGTACAAGCCTGTAATCTCAGTCCTGAGGAAGCTGAGTTTGAGACCAGCCTGGTCTATATCTAATATCTAATAAGGCTGTTTCAAAAAACAAAAACCAAAAAGGCTTGACATACCCTCTGCTGATTTTCTAGGAGCACTCTGAGCACCAAGAATAGCTCACTTTGAAGTAAGCTACTATATTCCCCAAAAGAGTAAAGAAAATGTAGGGATGACATGAGCTAACTGCTGAGGCAGGAGGATCATTCAAAGCCAGGTACAAATTGGGTTGGGCAATATACAAGATCCTGTCCTCTCCCCATCACTACCAAATGATTTCTGTAGATTAAAAAAATAAAAAGCTGGAAAAAGATACTTTCACCAAGGTGTGAGATTTATAAGTATTTATGAAACGAAAAAGGATATGCCTAACATACTTTTTCTTAAAAAAGTTACTAGCTCAGGATACATTTTGTAATAAATATCTATCAAAAATATCTGAAGACTAGCAGGGTGGCGGTGGTGCACTCCTTTAATCCCAGCACTTGGGAGACAGAGACAGGTGGATCCGTGAGTTCCAGAACAACCAGGATTGTAATATAGAGCAACCCTATTTTGAAAAACCAAAACCAAAACAAACAAATAAACAAAAGTATTAGGACTAAAATTATATAAACAATGCCTGAAGTTTTTTTTTTTTTTTTTTTTTTTGCTGCTGGCTAAAAACTCTCACTTTTAACAGAAGACACATTTTCCTAGTGATGAAAACATTTCAGATTTTCCCCTAAAGATCAGACTACGAACTACTTTCTTTCCTGGGTGACCAATTTCTAAATAATTTCTAAAAATAAGTAAAAAGCTGAACATCTACTCTCTGAATTCAAAAAGCACCTCCCAAACTAACACTGTCATTGTAAGCATATAGCATCTGACACGGGAGTATGCGATCCCAATACCTACAGCATGGTAATACATGAAAGAAAAAGAAAAATGTCCAGGGCTTGAGACCTGTTTCAGTTCTTGAATGAAATTCCATGAAAAAAGACAGCCAATTCAACTAGCCTTCACCATGATGGCCTGCTTAGGTAGGTCAGGCAACAGACAGGGAAAGATGCCCGTGAGACAGCACTCTGAAGTCATTTGGCTTTGGGTGAAATAGTTTCAAATAGCGTAACAACAGAAAAAGCATTCTGTTTAAACAAAAAGCAATCAAGGATGTGGTTTGTGATCTTTTCAACTACCAAAAGAAAAAAATTACCATTACTTTCCATAAAGGTCTGGGGGGCAAAAAACAAAACAAGCAAAGCCTAAGGAAAAAACTCAACTCCAAAGTACTTAAGAGTCTGTAGTAGCTTCCCGCCCCAATAGAGTTCCATTATTAAACTTGCTGCATTCATGCACTATGCAAGAGCCCCCAAAACTATAGCAAAGACCATTGAAGAAATTCATCACCTCACCTCTTCTACTTTGCACTGAAGCAACAGGAAGGAAAAAAGACAGGAAGCAGATTAGAAAGAACTCAGACATTTACAAACAAGCTGCATGGTTGAAAGCACTTCTAAATTAAATCATAAAAACACTAGAATCAGATCAAGTCTTTAAGAGCTTCATTAATTATTATACTAGAGTCTAGACAAGTAATAGAAAGGATCAATGTTAACTAGTACTGATCAAGCATTTTTCTGCTGAATCAAAACTATTTAATTTCCACTTGGAGAAAAATTTCTCATGAAGTTTGTAAGGCTACTTACTGATCTGATTCAAAGTTTCCTGAGGAATCCAACTCATGTCAACGTCATTTTGACTTGACGTTCCCATTTCTACTTTCTGTATGGGTCTCTTGCGCTACAAGAACATAAAAGACATATTTTAAAGGCACGTCACAGCATTGTTTACTCTAATTTTAAAAACAGTGGCCAACATATATAATCTGAGTATCTTAGCAGACAAATTACATTCTTTTGTTTTAAAACATCCTAACATACATCTTATCTGCTAGAAGAATGAAAACAGGTCTTCTTAGTGAGTAAAGATGCTTGCCACCAAGCTTGATGACCTGCATTTGACCCCAGGGTCCCAAATGATAGAAGAACCAACTTCTCCAAGTTGACCTTTGACCTCCTCACATGTGCCAAAGTGCACATATGTGAATGCCCATGTACACATGCCCAACAAAAAAGAATGCAATGGGAAAATGCATTAAATAAGTAAATCTTGACTGTAAAGAGCCTAATTTATTGTTTTACCACTGATAGATGAAATAAGAACACTAGTAACCCAATAATTTTCTTTCCATTTGGGAATCAGATCATAAAACATAGTTACAAAGGAGAGAGGAAGAGACTTTCTCTATAGCCTATCTGCTGCAATACTGGAATATAAAACCAGTTTAGTTCCATTTTTTTTAGCCTTGCTCTAAAATTTAAAAATCCAAATTCTGTGCAGGAAGCTGGGCATAGTGGTACACACGAATCTCTGAGTTTTCTTTATGTCTTGGTCTATATAGTAAGCTCCAGGCCAGCCAGATCTGTATCATAATACTGTATCAAAATTCTGTTTGTAATCCTAGCACCTGAAGGACACAGGAGGATCATGCCAGGACAGACTGAGTTACACTGGACTTTAAGGCTAACCAGAATTACACAGAAAAAAAACCTGTCTCAAAAACCAAGGGCTATAGATATAGCTCAGTGTAGAATGCCTGCTTAGCAGGCAATTCAAGTCACATACCCAAAGTCTCATCTCTGGGTACTGTTTTTAAAAGGTACAACAAAGTTCCAAGTCTATAAAACTACAGTAAGAATGATAGCAGTTAGTACTACTGCAACAATTTCCAAGTGTAGTTTTCCAACTGCTCACTCATAATTACCTTTCTAGATTCTAGGAGTTGATGAAGGCCGACAACAACTAGAAGCCCAAGACCAGCAAGGAACATATACATAAAAATTCTGGCACACAAAAAAAAGAAAATATAGTTGACATTAATTCATACATGCCACATCTAATTAAAAACAAAATCCCAACATATGCTACCACAGCTTTCTAAATAACTTGTAAGAAAAATACAGCATTTTAATTAATTCCAGGCAACAAGCTTTACAAACTTCCTGTTACTTATAGTTAAGAACACTCTGCCAATAAAAAATTCTACCACCTAAAATGTGTTTTATTTCAAAGTCACAGTTTAAGACAATTTCAGTAGTTTTGTTCACTTCACATTTATACCCTTTTTCATAACCGGCCTTATAGATCCCTTCCAATGAGTCACATTTAAGTTCACAAATGATTCTTTACTCAGAAAAAATATTTTTCAAGAAAAAAAATCCTAATTTGTTGTAATTATCTCAGAGACATGTCAGACAGGCTAAGGCTCAACTACAGCAGAAAAGAACTTGGGAAGATAAAAGTCAACTACTGCCTTTGTAAAGGCATGTTTTTCAGTTTCACCCATCTTTCCTGACTTGTATTAATAGGCACAAGAAGCACATAATGTGTGGATTCTGTGGTATTTCTCCAGATCTGGAGGGACCATTACATTCTGATCATTTCAAGATGGTCTGTGATCTGAGCACACTGCCTTCCAGTTCAATCTGTGAGCTCCAGATCTACAGGTACAGCTTACAGTTTTACTTACGTTTCTCCATCTAACCCGTCCTCTCTTTCAATAACTGTAACTGTCTGATTGAAGACGGCATCTTGGAAAACATTGCCCTGTTTAAGAAACAGATGTTAAACATCACATATGAGATGTGCTGAAAGAGTAAAAATTACAAGTGTTCTCAAAACTGTTATCCTACTAAACGTAACTTTCCCATCACTCAGTTACAAGAGACAACAAACCCATACATATGTAATTGCCAATGCCAGGTTAGAAACCTTATGATGTCATTCTCCTATAAAATGCCTAGAAACTTGCCAAGACCACACTCTATTTTCTGCAGGGAGCAGGGAAATGGTGGCTTCGGAGCTAGGACAGCAGTGAAGGTCAGAGAGCAGTGGCAAGAAGAAGCAGAGCTCACCCCCCCACCCCCCAAGCTCCTCAGCAGCTGCAGCTTCTACCTGTCACCCTGCAAACAAAGTCAGTGTCTAAACTGAAACAGGAATGGAAACCAATTCCACTTAAGGATGAACCAGTGATTATTTCCAGTTCCAAAGTACTTTTTCCATTATCATCTTTAAAAAATTGTTTTTTGACAGTTCTTCCACAAACACAGCACTTTGAAACTGGACATGAACTTGGTTCAATGCTACTTGAAAACAAGATGAAATGACAGATACTAAATGAAACAGCTCTTCAGCTATTTAAATGTCGCTCTGAAGACAGAATAAGAAGCTTTGTGTCTGTACTAATCACGATGCAGGGCCTAGCTGAAGATACAAGGTAAAGAGTCACGGGGCGAGGGAAATGGAACCCACTCTGCAAAGGAAGTTCTTGGGATAGGGAACGGTATAATCACAGTCTGGTGTGACAGAGAACATAAGAGCTGTCACTTGGGGTCTACTCCCTGCAGCAGTAGATTTCTCTCAGGCTAAGTGAAATTAACACATAAACCTCGCTGCTCAAACTATATTTAAAAGTGGGTTGTATTTTATCTATGAGTATATAATAAAAGAGCAAAACAGTAACAAAGTCTTTAAAAGCCTTTAAATGGGCAAAAGGTCTACAAAAAAATGGAACATAACAAATGTCTTACTATTCAATAGATCTAAGTAAGAGGCAGACTCCCCAGTACACTTACTTGCCCTTGTCAAGATCCAGCTCGAGTCACTTTCCCACACACATATGGCAGCACCTAGTGACACACAGCTTAGATATGCATACTTATCACTATGCTACTGCTTATTTTTGGCCACCTCCATCACCACCTTATAAATGTGGTTAGAGACAGATAACTGGTTCCTTTTGTATTCCTGGTACCTATTAGTTTGAACCACCAAATAAGCACGTATACAGACAGAAAACTATTGGACAATGGCCACTGTCCCTGCAGTCTCTAACAAAAACAAAACACAACTCAAAAGGTCTTACGTTCAAATCTTTGTAGTTCAGATTGATGACCAGACCAAAAGGCCGTCCCCCCATGGGCTCTGCTGGAATGAAGGAGTACTCAAAAGTCGCCTGTCTCTGTGGTGGCACTATAGTGTTCAGAGGAAGAGCTGTGAAATTCTGGATGTAAAACTGGTAGTCCTGAGGATAACGAAATGAAGCATCCAGCGATTCAACAATAAAATCTTCTGTCCCTTTGTTTGTAAAGCCTACCAGGAACTTCACGATGTTGTTTGCTGGAAAATCTAAGCCACAAAATAGGAGGGGTGAGGGGTGGGATCAGAACACATTCAGAGTTCAAAATGAAACACAGACATGGACTTGGTTTCAGACTTCTCTTCACCAGGGCACTCTAGTGTCAGAGCTATAGTACAAACTAAAAATCTTTTGTCTGTCCTCTGGGTATTGCAATTTCAGCAAATCACATCCAGATTAAGGGGCTAAGAAAATTGTGGCAGCCAAGATTATCATTCAAGAAGTTTATATAATTCAGTATGTTACTACAAAAATAAATGGAGGGGGGGAGCAAACACTCCAATTTTCTTAAGTGCTGAGTATAGAACAGGGGCTTTGTACATTCTAGGTATGCAAAGAACTACTGAGTACATCTCCAGCAATTAAATCACTTTTTTTTAGGCATGAAGTTGAAATATATAGAAAACGGAGCACTTAACACCAAAAATGAGTGGTTTCTGTTGTTGTCTTCCATCACACTGTAAGACAGTCTAATGGGTTGAACTCCACCCAGTACAACACAGGCTACAGAACAGATAGATCTGGGTCTGAACCTTGTCTCTGCAATCTATTTTATGTTCCGAGTAACCACAGAAGTTCCTTAACCTCTCTAAACCCAAGACCAACAATAATTACCCTCAGGGTTTGCTGGGATTAAATAAGCACTGCAAAGTATAAAGAACAATGCTATCCACAAAGCCCTCAATAAATAAATGTACTCAAGAATTTGAGTAGCCCTCACTGGAAGACTGGAAATGCTCCCAAATCTAAACCTTTGTGGGTCAATAAGATGCTACAAGTGGAAAATCCAAGTCTAAAGTGATGAGGTGCACATGAAACAAACTCCACTGTACAAATAGCTCATTATGTATTTAATAATACTCTAAAAAAACAAAACAAACAAAACAAAAAAACAAAAAACCCAAAGCCACTTCTGCTCCTATGCATTTGGAGCAAGAAATATGCAACCTTAATTTTTATTTTTTAAAATTAATGCTTTGCTGTAACCAGGACACTCACATACACACATAATTTTTTAAAGAATGTTTAATTTCTAATAAACCAAATACTTCATTTCCATTTAAATACTAGCATTACTACACACAGCAGTATTCATATACATAAGATTGGAGTTAAACAGACAATTACCTTCTCCCTTTACAAATAAGATAGTTGTGTCTGCACTTGGTGAAGCTTCTGGTTCACCAGATACATCTTCTTCTTCTTTATCTTCTGCCTAGGGGCAACAACATTAAAAACAGATGCTGTAACAGAGGTGAGCAAAAGTCACTGAAGTACAGACTTCACTAGACTGGGCGAAAATACTGATCTGATGGTACTGGTGGTACGAACCTTTCTTACTTTTAAGAGGAAAGCATAAGCACAGTCCCCCACTATCACAATTTACATAGTGGCATTTCCTGAACTGGGGAAATCACTAGTTAGCACATCCCAAGTGCAATGTAAGAAAGAGCTTCTCCCTGGGAAAGCCATCTCCTGGATCAGGGCATCTCTCCTCCAAGTAAGTATAATGGTGTTACTTTGTTCTACTTCATCAATTAAATAAAACCTCTAGAACAGCTCATGAAAAATGTGCACACAGTAAGCCACTGGGAATTTGGTAGCTCTACTTCACAAGGCAGGACTGCTTAATTGAGCACAGGAGTTTAAAGCCAGCTTGGGCAATATAGTGTCTCCAAAATGCAAGATGCAAGTAGACATATATACCTGAGACAGAAATGCTAACATATTCTATAAGAACAAAGTAACAAGTATACTGGAGGGAAGAAAGGGGGGTGGGGAGTGAGGAAGAGAGAAAGAGAGAGAGACTAAGATTCAATTCATGGACTTCAGAATAGAACAGAGAATAAGACAACAGTTCAACCCGCTGGAACTACATAAAAGCAGACAATCACTTATGGAGGAAAGATAGAAGGATAGACTGGTGAGTGCCAGACTCCATAGTGACCAAATGAAATTGGACATGGTGCTATCCTGCAAAGTGGTGCAAAAATCGGTAGAACTCAAGGCAAAGGGCTAGAGAGGAGGCCTGAAAGCCATCAACAGAAGGCTGTAGTGGTTAAAATCAAGTTTTACCATTAGGGAGGTAAAGAAGAAGGTAGCAGAGAGAATCCCAGCAGCAAGTAGGCAAGAAAGGGAAAGGGTGCCACAGAGCCCAACACAGTGGGATTCAAAGTACAAACAGCAAATGATAAAAACGGCTTAAACTATGCAACCAGGAAAATGGGCCAGAAATTTGGTGATTAGGTTGCTGGTGACCTCAGCAACTTTCACTACACATACAGGACAGATCCTGATGGGTAATGAATAGGAAGCTAAAGTAAGAGGAGAGATTATGCTTTCAGAAAGTACCTGGTACTGGCAAAGGTAAAACAGAGTACCAGCTGAAGAGGGAAGACAGTAATTAGATCTACATATGTGCAGCTCCAGGCCTGAATGCCAATGAGAAGGACCAATGCCCGAGGCTACAAAAGCAAAGTATCCTTCACCATGCACTGGGTGAGGAGATCCTTGGAGTGAGTGCACCTCATTGTTAGGGGAAATGCACCCAAGTTGAACTGTTGACGGCTCTTATTTTCTGATACCAAAGCCAGCACTGCTACCAGAGGACCGGCACAGGAGTTAAAGCAACCAATGTTTGGAGGTGCAGCTGACATCCTAGAACGCATATGAAAGTAAGGTAACTAACCTTATGATTTACCTCATGTTACCAAGAAATAAAAAGCCCAGTGCCTACTACCTGGTGAAACAGCAGACCAGTCTGTGTATCCCAGACCAATTCCACAAGCGGGAGAGAGCAGGCAGCACAGATGATCTATTCAAGGCTGCTCCTCTAATGAGATGGGTTGAAGATGCAGAGCTTCCACATGTAAGGCTTGGCAGAGACAGTCAGTAAAGGTCTCTTAAAGGCTGGGAGCCAGCACAGCATAAAAATTAAGGGTATTCTATTCAGATGAAACACCATGCTTATACATCAAAATGTTAACTCCCCCACCCCCAAAAGAGCAAACCACTACCTTAAGAGGCAGGCATACTCATAAAAAATGAAACAAACTTTATGGAGGAATGATTACAGTATTCCTGGGCAGGAATAAAGCTACAGCACTGACACTAATTTAAGCTAGGCTTTTTGTTTGTTTTGAACTTTATGTGTATTTGTGTTTTATCTGCATGTATATATATCTATGGAGCATATGCACACTCTGTCCATGGGAGCCAGAAGAGGGCATCAGATCCCCTAGAACTGGAATTACTGATGTTTGAGAGCAGCTGTGCTGGTGCAGGAAAAAGAACCCAGGTCCTCTGGAAGAGTAGCCAGTGTTCTTAACTGCAGAGCCATATCTCCACCTCTAAGCCAGATATTCTTATTGCCATTATTACAGAGTACAATTTCAGAGCTAACTTCTAAGAGATACTCTGTTACTAGTCATAAGGTATATTTTATCACCTGCTCTTCATTCCCTGCTCCCCAAACACACACACACACACACCCCGAAAGAACATGAACTTTAAGAAAGCAGAGGAAATGTCTCACCTGTTCAATCTAATACCCAGAACAGAGAGAGCCTTGCACATATAGAGATGCCCCCATGGGACTCATAGCAGGTTTTGAAAAGCACAAAAAAAAAAAAAAAAAAAAAAAAAAAAAGGCAGATCCAGAAAGCTAAGCACCACAGGCTACAAATTAAACAGCTCAGGTTCTACTACTAACACCTGAGCTATTCTTTTCTCCTCCTACCTTCACATATGAATGATCCTGACATGTTCAGTACATCTTTTCTCCTCCTCTACTCCAGAAAATCCTTCCATTCATTCTCAGTGACTTGCCCTTAGGTCAACTTAAACCCAGGGGAGATGGCTCAGAGGCTAAGAGCACATACTGCTTTTGCAGAGGACTCATATCTAAAATCCACAACTGTCTTTTAACTCCTATCCCATGAGATCCGATAACCCTGGCCACCTCAGGCATTTGCACTCACATGCAAGTACCCACACATGCATATATAACTTAAAAAATAATTACCAAATTATTATATTGCCTATAAAAAGAATATATTCTTGGGTTCAGTACCTAGCTCAATTGGTAGTGTACTTAACCACCACTATACCTGAAGCCCTGGGTTCAATCTCCAACACCACATAAAACATGGCACTATAGTACACACCTATAACCCATCATGTCCTGTTCTTGCAAGAGGCAGGAGGACCAGAAGTTCAAGGTTATCCCCGGCTACCATGGGTTTAAGATCAGCCTGGGCTACACTGAGACTACCTCAAAATCCTGGGGGACCCCATCTTCATGTATCATATACATTTTAGATTAGTATATAGCACTAACCAAATCTGTGGGTTCATCTTCTTCTACTTCAGCTTCATCATCTTCATCTTCAATTATGGAATCTTCCACTGTTTCTTCATCTTCTGTAAGATCCTGAGCCAACGCTAATGACCCTGAAAATAAAATAAAAATGAATACAACTTTTGTTTGTTTTCCGAGAAAGAGTTTCTCTGTATGGCTTTGGAGCCTGTCCTGAAAGCAGCTCTGTAGACTAGGCTGGCCTAGAACTCACAGAGATCCACCTGCCTCTGCCTCCCAAGTGCTAAGATTAAAGGTGTGTGCCACCAATGCCTGGTACAAATACTTAACTTTTACTAGTGTTTTTAAACATCAGGTCTAGACAAAATGTTCTAGCCAGGTGGTGGTAGTGCACATCTTTTAATCCCAGTACTTAGGAGGCAGAGGCAGGCAGATCTCTGTAAATTTGAGGCCAGATGTTTTACCTGTAGTAATTCAGTCTCCCTGGTCAGCTCAACAATCTCGCCACATAAAAATATTTATATTATTTTACTAGTAGTCTTAACTACTACATGTTCATTTTAATGGGAGTGTTTCTAGTATCAAGAGGCACAAAATGGGGCAGGCCAAACTCAGTGGGTTAAGGGCATTTGCTGCCAAGCCTGACCATGTGAATTTGATCTTAGGATTCACTCTGAAAGGTGTCCTCTAGTCTCTGCATATGCACTGTAAGACACAAATACAGATAGACAAAGACACACACACACTAAATGTAAAATTTAAAATAAATAGAGGTATCTTCATGGTTAGTAGCAGAGAAATAAACAATTATTTTTGCACATGACTTCAAGCATATTTTCAGATGAATATAAAAAATTGTAAATATCAAAAATAAATTATTATCACAACGGCAAATTATAAATTATAGTTTTATAGCAAAGCTTTCTCAGCGAGTCACACTACCTCACTTTTTGAGCTAAACCCTCAAAACCCCTTCAAAGTTCTAGCAGTTCTTTCTACCCCTTCTCAGAAACTGATGATGTGGCAATTCAGTAGGGAAGGAAAATACGGGAAGAGCCACACGTGCAATACCCAAGAGAAACATCCTGTCCTTAGGACCATGCGTTTTTAAGTTTTTTCACTTTCCTGAGTTAAAACAGTTCATTCGTAGTTTATACATCAATTTCCAAAGCCCGTTTTAAAAAAGAAAGAAAATCCAAGGGGTACGGGGTTGTAGTTGAGTTGTTAGCGTGCATGTCTTGCATGCCTGGCATGCTGGATGCCCTGGGCTCATCCCCACCACCTCATTCATGTGGAGTAGTGACAGACACCTGAAACTCAGCACTCCAGAGAGCCAGGCACAAGGGTCAGAAGTTCAAGGTCGTGCCAGAGATTCCGAAGCCAGCCAGGGTTACCTCCGTGAAACTGTCTCAACATCTGTCCCGTGTCCACACCTGGCCCCCAACCAAAGTCCCTAACAGTAACTCAAAAGTCAGGTTAGCTATAAGTAGAAGCCAATCACTTCCCGTTTGCTTGACTAAACAGCACCTGAACAAGGATCATTACTTTTTACGCCCTGGGCCGCTGAAACCTAGAAAAAGGAAAGGAATTCTAGCTATCACCGAAACTAACTCATTTTACAAACTGGAAAATCAAAGTTCATGAAGGACAAGAGGAAAAAGTTGCTACGTTTTTACATTCTGCCAAGTTTTTACCCCAGGTTAATCGTTGAATAAACAGATTTATAAAGCTCGAAGCAACTTTTTCGCAGCACATTTTTCCAACCAGCAGAAACTGGCTGGGAAAGGGAGAGGGGAGAAGGTTGAAATTAGCAAAGGAGAAGACAGCCATCCCGTGGGGTCTCTTCAGTAGCCAATGACCAGCAGCAGGAGGAAGGGGCGTTTTTGGACAGCGGGCCTCGAGGTCCACACAGACCACGATGGGCAAGCGAGGAGACCGAGCGACTATGATCCACCGCGCCCGCCGAGATGGAGATTCCGCTCTGGGCGAATGAATGGAGGCGCGCCCGCGTGGGGCGAGCGACACGTCAGCGCAGAGCAGGGGTCCGGGGTCCGGGGTCCCGTGCCGAGAGCGGGCAGAGAGATCAGGCCGGCCCCGGGCGTGGGTCCCGCGGACCCAGGACTAGGGGCCCGTGCTCGCGGAGGGGGCCGAACCGCGGCGGGACCTGGGGGGCAGCACTGCCCCCGGGAGTCCGGCCGGGAAAGAGGTCCCGGGCGGCTGCGGTGCCGGCCCCATCCCCTGCGCCCCCTCACCTCCGGGGCCGCCGCGGAGCAGCACGGCGGCGGGGAAGGCCAGCAGGAACAGCAGCAGCAGGCGGGGGAGGAGTCTCATGGTGCGGCCGGTCAGCGTCCACCGCGCGTCCGCTGGGGCTCTCGGCGGCTCTGGCGGTAATGGCGTTACAACTCATCCGGGCTCCGCGGGAGGGGAGGGGCACGCACGCGCGCCAGCCGTGGCCCCGCCCAGCGGCCATCGACGTGGCCTCTAGGCGCCCAGGGGCGGGTCCTGCGGGCCGCGAGATCACGTGGCCGGCGGTGAGGCCTCGAAGCTCCCGCGAGAGCGGCGCAGCCCCACCCCTCCCAGGGATTTAACTCCTTCGGTGGTTGCTGTGAGCGGCAGAGCCTTGGTAAGTACCAGTGACATAAGGAATGTGAACTTCCTGCATGTGCAGTTTGAAAGACAGGAAGGGCTATGGGTAAGGACAAAAAGAAAAAAAAAAAAAAAAAAAAAGCCAGGAGTGATGCCTCACGCTGTAATCCCAGCATTTGGGAGACTGAGGCAGGAGGATTGCGGCGAGTACGACAGCAGCTTGGGCTATGTTGTGAGTTCTAGGCAAGCCTGGGCTACAGAGTAAACATCTTGTCACAAAGCTGATAGAAAGGGGAAAACTTAGACTGGAAAATCTACCCCCATCCTCTGCAGTAAACAATGAGAGTCCTGTAGTTTTATTCTTTTAAATTTTACTCTGAGTGTATGCGTGTGTGTGTGTGTGTGTGTGTGTGTGTGTGTGTGTGTGTGTTTGCTGGTGCACAGATGTGGAGGAGGCCAGTGAGAGGACAATTGATTCTCTCCTTCCACCTCTATGTGGGTCTTGAACGTGAATTCTGATCCTTAGGTTTGTATCATAACCATCTCCCAAGCTCGGTTCTGGGATTTTTTTTTTTTTTTTTAATGTAACTTAGAAATCACCTAGCATTTCTGCTGTTTTCACTCCACAAGATCTCACTTCTGGTATATTTCTGGCAACTTCAGCTTGCCAGTGTGAAACAAACTCAGGAGAACCTCCAGACACCATCCTTTATCAGAGGCTTTCTTAGTTGTTTTTCTGTTGGCTGTCAAGAGACACCATGACCAAAACAACGTCTAAAAGAGAGCATTTAGTTTGCAGGCTTGTTTACAACTTCAGAGGGTGCATTCATGACCATCACTGTGGGGAGACTGGGAGCAGTTGGGCGTATTGCTAATGCAGTATCTGAGAGCTTATAGAGTTGTGCCAAAACGGACCAGGCTAGATGTAACTCCAGTGGTGTGGGCTTTTGAAGCCTCGAAGCCCACCCCTCAATGACACACCTCCTCCAACAAGGCCACACCCATTCCTTAGCAAACAGTCTCACCAACCTGGTGGAAGCATTCAAACCTATGAGCCTATGGGGCCAGTCTCATTGAAGCCACCACAGAGGCGAAGCAGCCACCACGATATTTGGCACCTCCGAGCCACATAGGGAATTGTTGACTGGGGTGGAAGTCACAGCTTACTAACTTCAACAGGTGCAGGTTGGTTGAAACGCATGCTGAGAAGAGGTGAGAGAGACTGTCCATAGTCTATGAACATGATAAAGGACCAGAAGTGGGAGTCAGTGAGTGTCTCAGTGCATCACCTCAGTCACATCCCTGAAATAGATGGTCAAATAGAAAGACATGTTTGTCGAAACAACCCCAAAATAAACAAAACTTTAACAAAAACTGGTGGTCTGAATAAGAACAGCCTCCACAGGCTCATATATACAAATGCTTGGTCATCAGAAAGTGGCACTACTGGAGAAGGGTTAGGAGGTGTGACCTTGCACGGCAGGCCCAGTTCTCTCTCTCTGCTGCCTTGTGGATCAGGATGTAGAGCTCTCAGTTCCCTCTCCAGCACCATTCTGTCTCTGAACAGCCATAGTCCCTACCATGATGATAGTGGACTAAGCCTCTGAAACTAAGCCAGCCCCCAATTACATATTTTCTTTTATAAGAGTTGCCCTGGTCATGGGGTCTCTTCACAGTAGAAGAACAGTGACTAAGACAATAGCCTTCCAACATCAACTCAGAGCAGGTCTCAACAGTCATGACACAAAAGGGGTTTTCAAGTTTGTTTTTGAGACAGTGTTTGTCTCTGTAGTCCTCTTGAAGGGCAGGTGAAGGATTATTCTATCCAGTGAGTACTCAGTATAGGCTCTGCCACATCAAGACAGTGTCAGCCATCCTGTGGCTCTGCGTGGAAGTATCAGTGAATGCCGGGCGATGGTGGGAGGCAGAGGCAGGTGGATCTCTGTGAGTTTGAGACCAGCCTGGTCTACAGAGTGAGTTTCAGGACAGCTAGAGCTGTTGCACAGAGAAACCCTGCCTCGAACAGAGTATCAGAGCAGTGTGAGGTTGCTCCTGGGGAGACCCTCCGATGTGGCATGGCACCCTGCAGTAGCTGTTGGGGCAGTGGCAGCACCGGTGACTTTTGTTAAGCACTTTCAGGTAATTAGCAGTGAAAAGTGCAGCAGAAACCAATAACGTGTGTGCCCAGAGGTGACTGATACATCGTGAACTCGGGGAGTATAAAAACATGAAAATGGGAGGGGGAAAACCCCAGCATATTCAGCCATGTAATTATAGAAAAAACAGAAGCAAGTGTTTCAGGGAGCCTAGAGCCAAGTCAGCTTTCCCTCAGTGCCCACCAGAAAAGTTCCCCTAAATTGGTTGTTGTATTTATTAATGTCCCATCTAATAATTTAAGACTTCCCTAGTATCCCGTCTCATGTCTCCCTGTCCCCTCCCAAACTCTAGCCTACCTTGTGGAGGGTGTCTGTTTTCTAGGAAGATGGGACATCCAGGACAATCACATTGGTGCAGTCCAGACATCTACCGGTGATTCTGTGCTTTGGTCATTTGATTTCTTTAGACTATGTGGGAGCAGAAAATCACTTCCCTTCATACTTGAGTTTGCCTTAGCATTGTTCAGATTGCATGAGGCCTGGGTTTGTTCTCTGCATTCTCCAGGTGACTGTATGTCCTTCAGAACTTCACTCATCTGTTACCTCCTCCACTTAACCTGACCTGCCTTAAAATTACAACCCTCGGGCTGGAGAGATGGCTCTGTGGTTCTTCCAGATGACCCAAGCTTGGTTCATAGTACCCATGATTACAACCTTCCTGCCTCTCACTCTCAGGTCTCACGTCACAGCATTTTCTATCTTCTTATACAGTCTATAGCTTTGGGTCTCCTGTCTGTTACTGCACCCTCAACCAGTGTTAGAAAACAGTCTGACACCAGGGAACTTGGTTGTGTTTTGAGACAGGACTTTCTTGTGTAGCCCAGGTTGGCCTTCAGCTTTGGACCCTCCTCCACAGCTTCCCAGGTGCTAGTACTACAGGTGTGTACCATCATCCCCAGCTCATAGATACTTGTTGAACCAATGAGATAATGGTTTGTTATAGTTACATCTTTCATCCTTAAATTTTTAATCCACTTTGGGGGGGGGTCTAATAAAATATCAATCAAAACAGTTGTGTTTATTGTGTGTGAACAAATACTTGTGTTCTTTCATGCATCAAGGAGCAGAAAAGGATTAAATCTTCTATTGTATACTCCAAGAGGGAACAAAAATCCACGGGAAAAGGGGACAGAGAACAAGGCTGTCTCCTGGCCTGTGTCTCAGTTAGCAGGAGGGCCTCCATTCCTTCCCCAGCCCACACTTCAAAAAGAGCCGAGTAGTCCAGCCACTGGATTGACCCGCCTCTGTCCCCTTGGGCTTTGCCCTCCTTTCTCTTACAGTAAAATGCTTATAGGCCAGTCAAAAGCCGGTCGTCATCTGTGGTTTGAATCCTGTCACCCGAGTAAAGATGTGATTCTAGAACATCCCTCACTGCTTCTCTGCACCACTCCCATCAACACACACCGCCCTCTAAGCTACCTCTTTCCTGTCAGTCTCATTCCCTAGCAGTGAAGCCTCGCTCTCACTCTGCAGTTTTCTCCTCACCATGGTCCAGCCCCGCTGGGATTTTAAACCCTCCACTCAAAGGCGATAAATCCAGTGACACTCATGGAAAGCCCCTGCCACAGCACTCAGTTTTCAGGACCCTGACCCCCATTCCCACCTCTGTGGCTCCTCCTCTACAGGACTACGAAATAAGAAATAATACTAAGCTTCTGAGGATGGATTCACCTGCTCGGAGTGTCAGCCTATGTAGCAGTGATAGAACACATGCTTAGCAAAGGAGTAGGGTCACCATTAAATCTGAGCCTTTTCTTTCCCTACCCTTCCAAGTCTCCCCTCATTGTTTGCTATTCCCTTTGGAGTCTAAGTCCAAATTTAACTCGCCAGTCAGTAGTCTCTTGTAAATGCTAGACACATTGTGTCATATGATCTGAAATGCTAAAACATCAAGTAGTAGCCTTGGTACCCCAAGTGATCCCAAGATTTGAACCCAAGTCTTAGGATTCATGCTGAGTGCTCTCTCTTTTTTTTTTTTTCCATCTTTCTTGGCTCTGTTCTATAGTTTAACAAAGACTTTACTAAGTGTCATTAAAGTCAGATAAACTGAGTGTGATGGTGCATGCCTGCAATCCTAGCACGTGAGAGGCAGAGGCTGGAGGGTTAGGAATTCAAGGACAGCTTGGGCTACATAGTGAGACTTGAAAAACAAAACAAAAGGGGTTTACTTTCAGATATTTAAACTAAACCTTGAAAGATGCATGTTTTGAATATGAGGAACTAACTGGGTGAAGGAAGAATGATTGATGGAAGAAATGACATTTTAGGAAAAGAAAATCATGTGGACTTATGTGTATCCATCTCTTGGAGCCAGAGTATTGAAGGTGGTGAATGTTGGGTTATGGAGTAAGCACTTGAAAACACGTCCACAAAATGGAATTCAGTAAATGGATATACATCATATATGTGCTCTATGGAATGTTATATAGTTGTTAGAATGAGTTATGAAGACTGGTAGACAGTATGGGAAAATAGTTACCAGAAACACCCTGGGTTTAGATAGCCTACTTAAGACTGTATCAAAGTGCTTTGTGGCTGTGGCAGTCTCTCAGAGGGTCAATGGGGAGTCAGAGGGAAGGAAGCACACTGGAAGAATTTTCTTAGAGTAAGAATTCAATAATTATAATTTTGGAGTGGGAGATGGTGGAAATGGTGGAGTAAAACATCGGGAACATAAAG